ATAAAGATGATTATGGAGCATTGTTTTCTTGGCTTCTGGTTAATAAACTTTGGTACAACATTATTATACCGATATTATGGAAGGATCCATGTTACTGTGATAAGAGCTTTATGACAATAATTAAATGTTTAATGGTAGAAGATCAAGACTTTTTTGTAAAAAATAAAATTTATTATTATCAAAAGGTTAGACTATCAGATTTGCCACAACCATTACACAACTATGCCAGATTTGCTACCATATTGGATCTTGAAAAAATAAGAAAAGCCAAACCTGATATATTGAAAGCTAGAATGGTGGATTTTCTTTTAAAGTATACAAGAGTCAGAGTGCTTAAAATTACCAAAGCATATCACAAAGGGCTTGTTGAGCATAAAGGATTCAATACTATTTTTAAAGATATTCAAGAATTAAGTTGTCATCTTTATGATGATCCTATTTTTTTTGATAGATTGGCAGTTATTTGCAGAAATATTGAAAGTTTAAAAATTACAATTTATAATTCGACAAATGGATTGGATGAGAGTTTGGCTCGACTAATTAAAAATCAAAAAAAAATCAAGTCTTTAATTATTTGTCCAAGCAACAAAATAACTTTTTCGGAGGAATTCCAACAAGCGATTGCAATCCATTCAAATTCAATTATCCATTATGAAAGTTCCACAGACAATAATATAGATATTCTGATAGAATCATTTCGAAATTTGAAATCTTTGAAATTAATAAGTCATAATAAAGATTCCCATTCGGCTGTTAATAAAATATCTCGTATAAAATTTACCAATTATCCAAATCTTGAAAAAGTGAATGTTAAAATTCTTAAAAAAATTTTTTTATTAGACATGGCTGAATTCATAAATACTAATGGCAGTAATCTTAATACATTGATAATTGGTGGTAGAGCAAAGGATAAACAAATTTTAAACGTACTGATAGAGTCAATTGCTGAAAATTGTCATAATCTGGAGGATTTGTCTATTTTCTATAATGATGAACAAGATGAACAATTTATTAATCTCTTGAATAATTGTACAAAATTAAAATCAATTACACTTGACACAGGGAATCTTCCTAAAAAAAAGAAACCTGAAATAGCAGCATACAATGGTAACAACATATTAGCACTTTTAAATCAATCATTACCAAAAAGTCTAAAGACTTTGACATTTAATAAACCGGCTGATTTGTCTGATCATTCATTGTGGATTTTAACTAATAACTGGAAAGGTCCTAGGCCATTTATCATTAAACGTCATGGATCCAAAGACTATTATTTGTGAAATTATATATCATGTATGAATGAGTTCAGGAATTAGAATTTATTCGGTTGTGTTTGTTATTTGTTATTTAGATTAGGCTAAATTGGTTGGAAATAATAATGAAATTTTTATTTTATTTTATTTTTTTAAAAATTAAAAATTAAAAAAATTGTTCATCACTTTTACCTCTCGAACTTTTATTGAATTTTTAAATACTTTGAAGATAAAAAAAAACGCTTTATGCTTGTATTCAAATAAGCAAAAAATGGAACACCATCTATCCTTGTTCCAATCTTATGAAGAAATCCATTTTATTCTTCAGGAAGTAAAAAAATTTTAACTGTTTAATGATAAAGAAAAAAATCATTACTGTATAGACTTTAAGCACCATTTCTCTCAACTATGTCAGATTTGCTTATTACTGAATTAGATCTTTATTTATCTATTTATTTATAAATTTAGTAGATTGATTCAACGAAACATTGGTAAATTATTCGAGTGTCAAGATACCTGGAGCTAGTGGTTTGGACTGTAACTGGATGATTGATTATAATGGATTTAATTCCTGCTTTCAAAATATTTATGAATTGGATTGTTATTTTCTTGATGGTATGCATGTAAAACACTCGGTTTTAAAAATCGATATTAATATTAATTCTTGGCAGTTTCTATTTGTACACTACGTGTGTAAACACGGGTTTACGTTGCACGTTATTTTACATTATATTGGTTCACAATCACATTGGATCATCCCATCATTTGATCCAAACAACCTTTTTTGGCCCGTTTTTGGGAAGTTGAACAAGTGCCAACCACACAATCTCTAACCATCACTTTATTTTATCATATCAGATCATCCCATCATTTTCACAAATCAACCTTGTCTCGTGTTATATATACGCACATACGAATCATATGTAAGATGCAAAATGAAATGTTATGTGTTTCAGGGTGTCCCAAATCCTCAAGTTTAAAAAAAAGTTAATGTTTTTTAGTGATGCAACTTTTATTACGTAACGCACGTGACACGTGTACATACACTACGTGTTTGCTAAGAAATTTTCAATGTTAAATATATCTAAAAAAAAATTAAATTTTACCTGAAGTATATACAACAATTCAGCATTGACACCCTAAAGTTGTAAAATTGTAATAAATATTGCAAGTGTTCAATCAGAGTTATTGGAGTCACCAAATCTGGAAAACTAAATTAACATCACTATATACAATTATACTGCTTGATTAGAGTTTCTATTCGAATAAGGGTTTATTCGAATTATTTGTTTTACTCGTTATGAATTCGAGTATTGAATTACATTGAAAGTTTATTTGAATAAAATGAAATAATGAATAATTCGATAATTTGATAATTAAATATAAATAAAACAAATAAAATAATTCGAATAATTCGAATGAAACGAATAATAATAATAATAATAATAATTCGAATAATTCGAGTAAAACAAATAATTCAAATATTTCAAACAAAACAAATAAACGAATAGTTTGAATAAAATGAATAAACAAATAGTCGAATAAACAAATGACAACAATTCGAAAAATAAAACGAATAAACGAAATAAAATGAATAATTCAAGCAAACAAATGGTTTGAATAAACGAATGATAAACGAATTATGTCAATTCGAATGATAAACGGATGATGTCAATTCGAATGATAAACGAATGATGTCAATTCGAATGATAAACGAATGATGTCAATTCGGATAAACGAATGACGTCAATTCGAATGATAAACGAATGATGTCAATTCGAATAATAAACGAATGATGATAATTCGAATAATAGCAATAAACGAATGATACAATTTGAATAATAACAATTCGAATAATAAACGAATGATAACAATTCGAATAATGAACGAATGATAATAACATTTCGGATAATAAACAATTATAATGATGTTATATAAATTTGCATTTTGTTCCCTCAAAGACAGTTCGTTATACAGAATAGAGAATTTAATTATAAAGTTCGTTATATAGAGCAAATTTAATTAATAAAAAATCGGACCAAAATTTTAGTTCGTTATATAGAGCAGTTCGTTTCTCGGAGGTTCGTTATAGAGAGCTTTGACTGTAGTCATTAATTGCTTACAGTCAACTTCAAAATACCAAAACAAAAAAAAAAATATATCATTTTAAAAAATTTAACCGATAAGTTTTATTGCTCATGATTCAAGCTTCAAAACTTATCGGCTGGTTTTTTCTTAAACTGAAAATTGGCTGAGCCTTAGCATTTTGATAACTCCGAATTTTGTTATACACTTAAGAAATTTAGACTAAGTAAATTTCGTGTAACAAATTTTTTTTTCATAGAATATTTTCCACAATATACATTTGATTTATTTAACTTATTTATTTCCTTTTTTTTATTAATAAATAAAAGTTCTTTACAACAAAAAAGTTTAACGAACATATATATTACATTAAAGGAAAATCATTGCCAAATTTGGTGGTGAGATTCAAAATATTGTAACACGAAAATTATCGAGCATAACTTTCAAATTTAAAAAATCTATGAAAAAGAAATTGAGACAAATTTTTTTTAGATTAATAGACTCCCTTTTTAAAGCTGAATTGAATGGTGGTGGTTTTTTAAAATCCAGTGCGTGGATCACATAATATTTCAAAAATTTTAACTTTTGAGTATAGATGATCCGCACTGTATTACACTCGATAAGTCGGACATTTATTTATAAAAGTACTTTAAACAATTGATTGCTGCGTCCGACTTATCGAGTTTAGATGTGTATGTTACTATTTCCGTTAAATCGAGATTTTATTTCACAGTGTATTGTTGATACCACGTGATTTGATTATTCAGATATCTAGCTTTTCGATTTAGCGGGTGAATTTTTTTGGAACAAACGTATCTGTTAGATCGAGGTTCGCCGTGTATTAGCATTGTTACGACATGCGCGTTATTTAAAAATGCATTGGTTACTTACGTAGTACTAGGGTCGATAAAGTCAACTAAGACGACAAAATTGACAAAGTCGACGAAGCATAATGGTAAATTTGGTCAACAGTCAACAAGTCCTCTAATTATAAATCATGTATGTAAACGAATTCAATTTAATAAAAGAAAATAATAACAAGTTTCGGCTTGAGAAATAATCAAACCATGCCCAAAACTATTATTCTCTAGTAAATACCCTATCCCTTCTAAAAAAATTAATCGGCGACACATGCAATCCAAAGTATAAGAATCGACTTCATCAAATTTTCACTGTTCCTAATTCCTCATGAACATAGTAAAATACATAAATACATGTATTAAAGAGAAATAAAACTTTACAACAAATAATTTTTTGAAAAAATCTTTTCATCTAAAAACCTAACCTATCAATTAATGAAGTTAAATTTTTTAAAATAGAATAGTTTTTGACTTCTATACTTTTAAAAATTTAGCAAATTTCGCATCGTAGTAATATTTACGCAATACAAAATCTTGTACTAATTGTTTCAATTTTAACAGAACTTATGGAAATACTCTAACTTTAAAACCTTTCAGAGGCATTTCCTGAGAAACAGCCGGTAGAACCTATCTCTACCAAGTTGAAAGGTGACAAAGTCAGGTGATTTATTGTATATTATTTATTATCTCCTAATAAATGAATATGTTAATTTAAAAAATAAATAAATATATATTGTTAATATAAAGTGTATGAATTAAATGATCTGACAAATTTTAATATTAATTTGTTCCTTGACTATTATCACTGGATTTCCAATAGTATATCTAAAATAATTTAAAAAATATTAAAAATAAAATTCAATTAGTTGAAAAAAAATAATAATTCAAATAATTACCATCTGGTATAACAAGATCATTTTGTTTAGTATAGTAAGCTAAAAAAATAAAAGAAAGAAATTTCTTAAAAACATATATATTAATAGTAATAAATAATACACAGTGAGTATCGGTTTAGCAGTTATTAGACTGATTTGATTAGTAAATCCATTATATTGAGAGAATTTACTCTGTTAAACCGAGACTTTTATCAGGCATATAATAATAAACAAATTTTACCTTCTTGTTGTTCTAATAAATAAACATCATTTTATAGACGGTTAATAAATATTTAATAAATTAATGGGCGAATTAAATTTAAATATTTTATTAATAAATTCATACCTTGAGTAGCGTTTTTTGGAGAAGGAAGATTTGAAAAATAATGAAGTTTACTGTTAGCAAAATTTATAGTTACTGTATAATTTTTAGTTTTTCTATTACTGTTGTTACTATTATTGTTATCGTCATTATTGTTATCGTCATTGTTGTTATCATCATTGATGTTTTTATTATTGTTTTTGTCATTTCTTAAAGATTTTATTAATTCAGCAATATTTGATAATCTGTTAAAATTAGTTTTAAGGCTTCTAATAAATTTATATCTACTTTTGGAAGTAACTTTTATTTGTAAATTTTGATCTTTATTATACAAGTCTCTCAATATTCCTTTTGTTTCTATCCATAAAGCTTTTGCATCAGGTCTATTGTCAGGAATAGCATCCCAACATTGTTTTAGTAATTTTTTAAGTTTGTCAGGGAATTTATTTGGAATTTCTGGTCTTATTCCATTTAGGATATTTATTGCTAAATCTAAATCATCTGTTTTATTATAAAATGGTGGAACACCAGAAAATATTTCCCACATTATTACTCCAAAAGCATAAATATCAGATTTCTGCGAGTAATTGCCTTTAGCTATTACTTCAGGAGCCATATAAGGTAAACAACCAAATATGCCTTCAATTGGTTTATCTTCTGGACCACACAATCCCATATCGCTGATATAAAAAATATTTGCATAAGAATGAAGTAATATATTTCCAGGATGTAAATCTCTGTGAATAAATCCCAAGTTATGAATTTCATTAAGATTAAGCATAAGACCATGGATAATTTTAAGTTTTTTAAGTAAACTAAGTGAAGAATGGTTTTTAGCCATATATTCTCTCAAGTCGTACTTATATTGACTTAAAATAAGCATAAATTCATTAGTTTCTGGGTTTTTTGTTAATCCATAACAACCAATAACAAAATCTGAATTAATATTAATTTCACAATGTGATTTAACCTAAAAACAATTCAAAATTAATTAATATCATTATATTATGAAATAAATTTAATTGTTAAATTTTAAATTTTAATATTACTTCATCTAACCATCTTTCATTTGTCTTTCTAATTTCCTTAAGAGCAACTTGTTGATCTCCTCTCCTTTCTAACTTCAACTCATTAGAATTCCATCGATTGTAAGGGCCATATTTTCGAGTTGCAGTATATATTTTTGCATTTCCCCCTTCAGCTTTATATTTGATATCAATAAAATCTTCATATGGCACCCATTCAATAATATCACGTGGATTGAATGCTTTTTTTTGAAAAAATTGAATTAATTGATCAATCTCTTCATTTCCTGATGTCCAATTATCAAATTTTTTTATCAAGCAATTTCTCATACAAGATTCACAATATGATGTAGCAACTACCATATTTTTACAAATTTTACATTTTCTTCTTTTGTTGCTACCTTCTTTGATATTTCTCCTGTCTATAAAATTATTTGCAAAATCATTTATATATTGCTTTTCAGATTTGGTAAACTTATGACCATAAAGAATATATCTTAAGCAAAATCTTATTTTTTTTTCTGTTATCTTTTGAATATCATAATCCATGAACACTTCTGATTTGAAAATAACATCAAATATAACACCATACCTCAATGTTCTATCGCTCATTATGTTAAAGAATTAAAAAAAAAAAAAAAAAAGAATTTAAGGAAACGGGAAATTTACACAATAATAATAAAATCTATATAAACCTTTTTTCCCTACCAATTATAATAGGCTGTTACATAGAGTTACCATTCAAAGCTCCTACATTTAGTAGTTTGATTTTTTCAATACGTCACACTAAAATTTATTAAGCAACTGTTTGTCAATTAAAGTTTCGTAATAGTAATACAATCTTAATCTCAATCTTAATAATATTAATTCATTTGTTTTATTGGATCATTTCTAATTCCGTTCTAGACTCGAGATGCCATAGATTCGAGTCTCTTCTTGTAACTTCTCCAAGCCCTTTGTATAATCCTTGCATGTCTGAAATCAGTTTTGGGCCGAAGACAATCATTATCCCCAATGTTCCTGCATCAGGTCTTTAGGTTCGAGAATTTCCACATATCTTTAGCAACCATAGTGGGATGATTTTTCTAGGCTTCACATCATTAATTGAATAAGCCTCATATAATCTATACAGATTGCTAGTCGATCTTATGAATCCTAGGTCTGTAAATAGTCAAAATCGACTAGCCTAAAATTTCCGAATGCACCAAATAAACAATATTCATGGTAAACTCTTCTTTTTCTCTCAGAGACCAACTCTTGTAAAGGAACTCTCACACGGATAACACATTGTTGTAGAGTTTCATCGGGTCGAATAAATGATAATGGATCATACAATCTTTCAGTTGCAAAAAGACATTCGATTTTTTCATCACCATATCCATAATAATTACCAATTAACGAAATGACATATTTCATAGAAGCAGGTTATATCAAAGTATCGATAACCAAATAATAAATCTTTGATAATATTATTGAGAGCCCGGGAAGTCATGCATGAATGGCAAATTAATATCTTAAAACCCCGAGAAAGTCCAGAACAAAGAACAGTAGAGTTACGATTAAAATCGGAATATGTCAATGCTGGCGGAGAAGCTTAATTTGCTAGTGTTAAATAATTGTTTTGTATTAAAAGACATAATGTATAATCGCACATTGATTGCAAAGTAGAAAATTCGAATAAAAAAAACTTTATTTTTCCGATGCATATATACACCATGTACCCATATCACACATATACAAAGTTAAAAGAAAGTTGAAAGGTGAAAAAATTTGGTTTCGACAATAAATTTAAAAAAATTTTTTTTTTGACTCTTCAACCATGTGTTCTATCTAATTATATTATACTTCTTTCACTAATTAGCAAATAGAACTTTACTTCCAATTGTTAGAGATTTATTTCGTGAAGCAATTAACCATGAAAAACTATCGCCGACACGTTTTATATTTATTACATTTATAATAATGACGATAGAGAAAGGATATTTAAAAAAGAATGAACACGCGGAAAGAAAAGGAGAAACTATTATAAACATTATGGAAGAAAGAATGATGCTACGCCACATGTCCCACATTTCAAAAAGGAAAAATCATCAGACGACATTTCACGCGATTGACATGTCTACTTTAATAGTTGTGTAGAAATTTTGCTATTCAAATCAAGGGAACTTTTTCATTTATGACTAGTACGCCATGAAAATAACGAGGCTGTTTTCCATTATATGACGGAGTACCATTTTCCGACTTCCACGCCATGCTGGCGAAATTACCGTTCAGGCCAAATAATATAAGCAATGGAAATAGAGCCAATTAAAGATATATGGTAATGTAAAAATCAAAAATACTGATACCATTTTTATTTATAAAACAAAAGTATTGATTAAAAAATATTGCTAATTGAAAAATTTTCTGTAAAAGTTAATATTTTTAGGGAAAAAGAATTATTACTGCTTGATTATGAGGTTTGTTTGTAGATTCAATCTTGAGATCAGGATCACTATTCAATTCTTCAAACCCACATTCAACAAGTTTTTCGGGTTCCTCATCAGAATCTTTATACTACATTATTGATATTATCAAAATAAGCGAATATAATTATGACGAAGGAATTTCTTTTTTAAAAAAAACTTGTTAAATAATAAAAATATATCATACATACCATTATTACCTTAATCTTGGATTTAAGATTTTTCAAGCTTGTTGTTTCTCCACTTTCATTACTACATACTAGGTTTTCATGTTGAAGAACGGCAGCTTTTTTAAGAGCTTCAGAATAATATTTTATTTTTTCTTCGACTCCCATTTCAGCTTCACAGTAAGTTGATGTCATATCATAAATAGAAAAATCTGATTTCAAAAGTCGATAACCATCTGCACATGATTCTATTTTACCATGAATACAATTAGATGAATCAGGACATGGTGTGCAGGCATGATTTTTTAAAAAATCTATCAAATTAACAACAAGTTAATTATGAAATCAAAAATCATATTTTCTTTTTTTCAAAACATAAAACTTAACATTACCATTCTTATCATAACCATTGTCATTACTAATATTATCACAATATCCTGCATAATTTTTAATTCTATGATAAATTAATAGCATCATGAAAATGACCAAGAAAATGTTTTTGATTACTTTATTTCTTTGAGCTCTTTCTGATTCACGTAATACTTTGCGACTTGGTATCCGATTTGTTCGTTTGTTGTAGTGGTTTTTATTAATTTCGGTTCCAAACCAACAATATTTGGGAATATCATAACGTGATTCGCTAAATATATTTCTGTTGATAACTTGTGACGATGAAGAAGCAGTAGTTGGTGTATCTGGAGGAATCGAAAATGATAATGGTGGTTCATTACCATGAATTGGTGGTGGTGATAATTGCAGTGAATCTTCCTGAATTATGGTAGTAGATTGTTCATTCACCTTGATAAATGATGGTGGTGATGATGATTCATTAGTTATAGATGAACCATTGATTTTTTTCGACGGTATTTGTTCTTGATAAGATAAATTTGATACGATTGTTTCGTCACCATCATCATCACCAATGCTTGATGATTCCAAAATAAAATGATTCTCTAATGAAGTCCTGGCAACTGTTTTTGGTGAGTGTTGTTGTAACCTGTTATTAAAAACTTGACGTGTTGGACGCGATCTCGCATTATTATCAGGCGTTTGGTTTCCTCGTCTAACGGCCTAGAATTTGATAATATAAATAATAAGAAATTTATAACCGAGATATCAACTTTAAAACGCAATATATTAACCCAGTCTTCTGTCAAAATTTGTGGATTTTCAAAATTATTTCGAATTTTTTCTTCAAATAGCTGTAAAAGCTCTGCTTTCTTGCTGGATGGCCGGAATTTGACATTATGCTGTCTTAGGATCTCCTTTAAACGATTTATAGTCAAGTTTTCAGACCTAAAGCTTGGCTCTAAATATTCTTCATAAAAGTCCATTAGTTGATTGATTTTGAATAATTTGAAAGAAATTTATTGATTAGGATTAATGGGGAAAGGGGCAGGGCCCCAAAATTGCAAAATAAATAATAATAATAAACATTGAAAATTAATGATTAATAATAACAACAACATTTAATACCAATATACACATTTAGTTCGTCTGCTTTATTATTTTGTTTTCTTAATCTGTATTCGATAAATAATATCAATAAAATAACTAATTATACAGCCTCCAATAAGTCGTTTTCATTTGTTTGAATTATTGGCTTCTGCTTGGGACTTATAATTATCTCCTTTATTAGCATCATTTATTTGTTCTTGATTAGAAGTCATAATATAATAATCAATTAGAGATTGCTAGTTGGTATATTGATATATTGAGAATATTCTTTATAATAATTGGAAAACCCATTTTCTGCAATTTGTTCAAATTTCCATTAACCATAAGCATTATTATATGGGGCATACTGCAACAAAACCAGACAAAGTGAACATTTGGTATTGCCAGAATTGCAGGGATCAAAATTTAGTCATTTGTAATGTGATTATAATTATTATTTTGCAATTTGCCAGAAACGGAAAGAAATTACATAATGCAGATCGGGGCAAAATTTCTCAATTTTATAACAGTCGCAGGACATTGCGGATTTACAGGGGGTCAAGTGTCACTCATATATAAAATTAATGATCTTCGTGCATA